TGCATAACGCAGATTGTTGATAAATCATCCACCAATCTTGACCCCACATTTCTCCTCATAGAGCCCAGCCTCCCGGATAATCTGTTCTGCATATAGGTTTAAAAGGTATGGAGATAGGATGCGTCCCTGGAGTGTCAGAGACAGTGCCATTGGCACAGGACAGAGCGGAGCTTAGGGCTGTTGTACATAGGGTCGCTATGAGTTGCAGGCGACTCGATGGCACATAACAACAACAACAACAAGTAGGATGTATATGAAAAGTCCAAGGAGGGGAGGGAAGAGAGCAATAGGACTGAAGGTAAGAGGGGGCAAGCCAACATAAAGTTTTAATATTCCTTTAAAAAATTGATGTAAACAACCAGCCTTTTATTACTGGATACTTCTCTTGTTGTCATGGGATCTTACTGACTTTATTTCTAATTATGGCAGTCAATTCCCTGTAAGGAAATGGGCCGACATTGCTCTTCCATGTCATGTCATCTGAAAAGACCGGTTTTACACAAGAGTGGTTTCCTTTTTCCCCTCCCCCCAGTTTCTCTCTCCAGTTTCTCGGTAGTTGACTTGTTTTCATTCTACACTATAGTGAGATAGGTTGACTCAACAGAAAAGAGTGGTTTCTTTTAAAAGGATTTTGATCACACTTTAAGAAGAGATTGAGGTCTAGCCAAATAAAATTACTTCTTTTCTCTTTGTTGGTATTACTTAAATTTTTTATTTAAAATCTTTAAATTTACCATTTCTACATCACAGAGTTTTGCAACAAGAACTTAACAGAAAGAGACAGAAGACCACTTATTCAGATAAAATTCCTTATCTCAGGATCCATGCAGTGGTTTTTAGATGTGCCTTTGACTTGGCACTCTGTTGAGGACAATGGAATGGAAGTAGTTGCATGAGTGAGGTGGTGGGGAACATCTTGGAATTTTGTCTAAAGAAAAAACGTTGTATAAAAGGTATGCATGTGCTGGGCAATCAAAGGATAGATTGCAGTAGATATCTCTTGTGTGTATTTCCCCTGAATCACTTCCTTTGGGACTAGCTTTTCCTTCTTCTCTTGTAGCTTTGGTGGCCACGAGAGTGATGCCTAACTGCCACCCTCTCATTGCAGGGATGTATTTGTGATCATGCAAGGAGCAGGTATTTGTCCTGCCCGCTGCTTCTCACTACTCCCAAGCAGAACACACACATTGAACCAGACCAGGTCAAAGAGGATAACAGGTAGTGTCCTGTTTTCAAGAACACAGAGGTAAAAGAGAGAGAGTGCAACCTGCCTGATGGAGAGACTGCTGGGAAGCTAAATGACAGTTTCTCTGGGCAAAATGGTAAACAAAGGGAATTACTTTGTTAAGCCAAGTCACGTCTGTTCCTCAGACATCTGCCAAAGGCATTTGGAGTTTGAACTGCCTGCACAGAACTCAGACTAACCCAGCTCTCCTTGCCATGTGAAACATGCTCAAGCCCCATTCCTCCTGATGGCTTCCTACTGATTCCTTTGAGGGAGCAGAGGTAAAAGCAGGCACCTGACAGTTCTACTGGGGCAACAATCTCATTCTATTACCTGAGTGGGCAGACTGGAAGCAGTACTGCAAGCTGTTCCCACCATGTTGGGCTGCCTGCTGGGCTGCTGGCCCTCAGAGCTCTGGCCTCCTCCCACCCCTTACTCATTAGCCAGGCTGTGAGGTGACAGTCAGGGCATCTTGGCTGGCTGGACAGAGCTAACTGTGAGAGCAGCCAGGCCTGATCAGGATGGACAGTTCACAGGATTCAAGAGCCCTGGCCCACTGTTGGCACTGCTGCTCTCCCCTCCTCAAGCTGTTCCCCAGGGGCTTTGGAGCTGAAGCTAGGATCCTCTTTACCCTCTCAGGACCCCTGGTGAGGAGGCGGCAGAGATGGGGGATGGGAGGGAGGCTGCTGCCAGGCAGGATTCTGAGATGTGTCTAGGGCTGCATACACCTTCCGGAGGAATTGCTTCCCTGATGCCCAGCAGCGTCTCCACCCTGAGATGGTGAAAGTGTATAGTTCCTCAAGACCAAAGGCAGTGTCTGGGTATTAGGGGCCCTAGTGTGCTCAGTACAAGCAGCTCCACTCAGAAGGAGGCTAGAGATGACGGGGAGATGGAGCTTCAAATTTTCTGGTGGTGGGACTCTCCCCAGGAGATAATGCCTCATGCCTGTGCTACTTCCCAAACAAAATCAGCTATATGTTTATTTCAGATCACAAATATGTGCTGCTCAGACACCATTTCTAAAAGTGTGGCACATATTACTCTTTTGTAATATGATCTGATAAAATCCTACTTTATTACAATGATAGCAGAGATAGCAATATGTATTAATTATGGCAAACTTGCTGCAGTTGTCATTTTAGAAAATACTTCCATTGTATTACCACGATTTTGGGGTTTTGGGGGGATAGGATGGGAGCCACTGGGTAAAAGGACAGTCTGAGGTCAAGGTACTGCTGTGTGTGGGATGGGAGCTGGATCGGGGTGGGAGCAGGGCCAGAGTGGGAGGATGTCTGAAATGGTAGCAGAACAGAGTTGGAGCACGGCCAGGGTGGGAGCAGAACCAGGGCCCAGTCTTCCGCCCTGGCTCACTGCAAGTAGGGGTCATACTTTTGGAGCCAGTCTTATTCTGTTATGAGAAATTTGCTTAACCGGTGGCAATTTTTGTGTAGGGAGGAAAGCTGTAAAATGAGGCACAGGAAAGACCTTTAGCACAAGGCAAGGGCCAGGTGATTATTTTTTATTGGGGTTTTTTCTCTACATGTTTGGGGGGGTCATGTTTTGTTTTCTATGTGTATAGAGGAACATTTATCCTATTTGATCTAAGCTTTTTGTACATTACAATTTTAGAAAATTCTTGATCTTTTCTTTTTTTAATTTGGAAGGGGGGAAATGAAGCAAGGGAAGGGGACTGCAGGACTCTGGGCAGCGGAGTGTGCTGCCCACATACGCAGAAAGCATGTTTCCAAATGAATGTGAGAATATATTTTTTTTTTTACATTTTTGTTCCCTCCTCTCTCACTTCTTACACTGGTAATCCTCTAGGATAGATTCTATGGGTATGTAAACCATTTCTTAGATTTTTATATAGTGTTTTATACTATAATGGTCTTTTTGTCACTTGTGCCACTTAGCATAGGAGTTCCAGCTGGTAGTGCAAGAACAGTGGGAGGAGGGCCAATCCAAGCCTCTCTAATATGTGATTTTTTTCACTCAACATAATTTATTCTCGTTTCAGCCATGTTGTGCAGTTTTTCAGGTTTTTAAACTTTTTGTTGCCATGCACAATCTTCAACCTCATCTTCATCCGTTAATGGGCACTTGGGTTGTTTCCATCTCCATGGTATTATAAACAGTGTTACAACAAGAACAAATATGAGTATGTCAATTTGTGTTGCAGTTCTTTGGGATATATGTCTCCTGGTGGATCACATGGTATTTTTCTGCAGGTGGGGTGATTCTTGTCTATTAACCTTAAAGAAGGGGCAAAGCTCTGAGGACTGAGGATACTGGGTCTTTGCTGGGCCGAGAGGCAAAGCAGAACAGGGGTACCTGCGACAGAAGCCTGTGGGGTCAGCTGACCTGTCTCTGGACCCTCTCAAGTTTCTCTTCCAGGTGCTGACCTTCCTAATCTATGTGGTGAGCACGGTGTTTTGTGGGCACTTGGGCAAGGTGGAGCTAGCATCCGTGACCCTTGCAGTGGCCGTAAGTACCTGTTGGCCAAGGAGGGTCTGTTGGGTGATAGGGAGGGTGACTGACCTCCATTCCACAGATGGGGCCAAAGGTCAGGTGTTTGTCCAAGGCACAGCACAATAGGACACAGCCAGGACAGGAGAGTCCTGGCTCAGGTGAATTCAGAAATGCTTCAGCACCCATTCCCCTTTGGGGATAGCCTCCTTCAAGGCCCAATTATTCCGCCTCAGTCACAGGGTCCTCACCAACTCCAAACCTAACCAACCCTGTGCTTTCTCCTATGAGCGACTCCAGTTTGTCAATGTCTGTGGTGTTTCTGTGGGATTCGGTTTGGCTTCAGCGTGTGACACCTTGATGTCCCAGGTAGGTGGGAGCCTTCTAGGGAGTAGGAAGGTGGTTGGACAATGTAGGAGTTCTGACAGGTGCTGCAGGAACAATGTGAGGAAGGCCCATGTGAGGCTTCTCTAAACCCTTCTGAACCTTGAGCTTTAGTCTTACAGACAGAATCTGGAGTCAGCTATCCAATCTTTAGGGGTTATGCGCTGTCAGGGACAGTGACCCGGTACTGGGTCAACTCTCTGGAAGACTAGCAGCCCATGAGAGGTGCCATGGAGGAGAACAACCTAAGAGCAATTCTCTAGTCTGATATGTGTGAGAGATCATCAAAAGAAAAACACCCAGAAAACTTATGTGGTCCTCTCACTTCCATATCCCACCCCACCTCTTCACACCCGTAAACTGAGGGTAAGTTCAACATTATTAAATGCTGAGCACACAGGTAGGGACCTTCCTGCCCTTGTCACAGCAGCAGACCTGGGAGTGATGCCCAGGCTGCAGTAACCACAAAGCAGATAAGACTCTGAACTCAGTCCTCCAGAGGCTCTGGATGCCCAGAGCAGCACAACAGGAGCCTGGCCTCTGGTCTAACTGGTCAATGCCCTCAGCTTCATTGACCCCAGTTGTGAAGCAGAATGGAAAATACCCTCCTTAGGAACTTCTGCAGAACAAAGGAGACAATGAGAGCACAATGGAAAGGCACAGAACTGCTGTTGGCTGACCTCAGATTGCCACTACCCATCCCTTTTCAAATCACTGTGATTTCATGCACTATGTGACATCATGAAATGCTGTCATACCTGCACTACTTCTATGATAACACTTATGGACAGGACCATTGTGATCCATAGGGTTTCCAGGGACTGATTTCAGAAGCAGATGACCAAGCCTTTGTTCTAGTCGTTCTTAATTGACAAGTCTGCTGAAATCTGTTTGGCATCGTAGCTATACAACAGTCTCACAGAGGAATAGTGGCTGCTCATGAGGTACACTGGTCACTCAAGATTGGAATTTTAGTCTCACACATATTGTGTTGTTAGGTGCTGTCAAGTCCATTCCAACTCTTAGTGACCCCATGTGTAACAGAGTACAGCCCTGCTCCATTCTGAACCGTGTTTGTTATCTCTGCTGTGCTTAAGCTCATTGTTGCAGTCACTGTGTCTATCCATCTTCTTGAGGATCTTCTCCTTCACTGATTTCCTGCAAGCATGGTGTCCTTCTCCAGGGACTAGCCCCTCCTGCTAGCACAGCTAAAGTATGTGAAATGAGGTCTCGCCATCTCTTCTGAGCAACATTCTGGTGCATTTCTTACAAGACAGACTTGTTTGTGTTTAAATTTATATTGGTTTGCATACAAAATTCATATACATCATGTATCAGTCATGCACGTTGCATTTCACATATTCCGTGGTTCATGTTATGTTTCAAAAGATGTGCATTGTGCTTTATAAAGTGAATCACTATTGATCTATGCCTACTATTTCCCCATCTTTTCAGGTCTCCCTTGGACTTCTCCTAATTCCTTCACAACACACACACACACACACACACACACACACACACACACACACACACATCTCTGCCCACCAAACTCTGTTATCCTAGTGATTCCCTCCCCTTTCAGTTGTCCTATTTTTACAGTAAAGATCTCACACAGTATTTATCTCTATGAGACTGAGTTAGTTCACTTAGTATAATGCTTTCTAGATTCTCCCACATTATATAGAATTTTATAAAACCATTGCTCCTTAGTGCTACATCGTATTCCATTGTGTGGATCATAATATTGCAATCCATCAGTTTGTTGTTGTTAGTTAGGGCTGTTTCCATATTCTTGCTGTTGTGAATAACACTACTATGAACATAAATATACAAATCTTCATTTATGCTTCAGTTCTATTTTCCTTGTAGTACAAAAGCTGGATCTATGTTCAGTTTTTTGAGGGAATGCCAAACTGCCTCCCAAGATGGTTGTACTATTTTACAATCCCACCAGCAGTGCAGAAGAGTTCCAATCTCTTCACATCTCCTCTTCAATATTTATTGCTTGTTGTCCTGTTAAACTTTGCTACTACTGCTGGAGTGAGATGGTATCTCATTGTGGTTGGTTTTGCATCTTTCTGATTGTCAGTGATTTTGAACATTTCCTCAACTGCCTTCCCTTCATGAAAGTCTTTCTGTCTTTTGTCCATTTTGTGATTGAGCTATCAGTCCTTTCCTTGTGGAGGCCCTGCTATTGTTAGGTGCTATAGATTCAAATAGCTATGTTGTCCATAGCAACCCTATGAACCACAGATCTGTACCCTGTCCTGTCCTGTGCTAGCGGTAGTCACTGTGTCAATCCACCCAGTTGAGAGTCTTCTTCTCTTCCGTTGCCTTTCCACCTTCCCAATCATGATGTCCATCTCCAATGAATAGCCTCTCCTAGCAAAATGCCCAAAGTATGTGAGACAGAGTTTTATCATCTTTGCTCCAAGGAGTAGTCTGGCTGCACCTGCTCAAAGATATATCTGTTTGGTTTTTGACAGTTTTTGGCAGGGGATATTCAGCACTCTTTTCCAATACCACAGTTCAAACGCAGTGGAGGCTCTGCAATATTTTGTAAATATTCCTTATGAGATTCTTGTCTGAGATGTCACTATCAAGTGTTTTATCCTAGTCTGTAGGTTTTCTTTTTACCCTGTTGGGAAAAGTTTTTGAAGCACACAGAGACTTAATTTTTAGGAAGTGCAATTTATTAATTTTGTCCTCTCTAGTAGATGGTGTATTTAATATTTTTCACCAACACCACAATTCAAAGGACTCAATTCTTCTTTGGCCTTCGTTATTCACTGTCTACCTTTTATATGCATATGAAGCAATTGAAAATATCATGACTTGAGAAGGTACAAAACACCCCTAGGCTGTTTTATGAGCAGGTGAGCCCTGTGCTGTAACTGGAGGTGTGCTTAGAGGAAAAGACAAGGCTAGTGATTTGAACTTAACCTAGAGATGCCTTCTAATACAGCCTTTCCCATCTGCTTCTGAAAGATAAGAGACCTGAATAGGCTTTAGAGCCGTTTTAGTTTGTATACATGAGGTCACCATGAGTTGGAATTAAACCAGATGGTAACAACAGGGTATGCCAGGCCATCACACATCCTGGAGCATCCCTCTGCCAGATCCAGAGCCTCTCCTCCAAATCCTCTCACAATGACCGATAGAATCAGAATTTTTCACTCAACATCCCCACGGGGAGCACAAAGAGACCTGTGAGAACAGGGCATTCAGCTCAGTCTGCGCAGCCTGACTGGGCAGGGGGCGAACCAATCAGCATTGCCTGGGCTGCCTGAGTGGCATGAGGTGGTTCAATCAGCATCGCCTGGGCTGCCTGGATGGGGCAATCAGTGCCTAGGGCCTGACTGGGCGAGGTGGGGGCGGGCCAATAAGCATCGACTGGCCTGACTGACTGAGCCTGGGTTTTGTAGAGCATTGGCAGCGAGAACAAAAAGCATGTGGGCATCATCCTGCAGCGAGCCACCCTCATTTTGCTTCTCTCCTGCTTTCCTTGCTGGGCGCTCTTCCTCAATACTGAGCAGCTGCTGCTGCTTCTCCGGCAGGACCCTGTCGTGTCCAGGTATGATCCCTCCTGCTGGAATCCTAGGGAAGCCCAGCATGGGACACCCAGGGAGCTTGGCCCTAGGCCTTTGCGTCTATGTCCAAGGCAGTCCCAATTGCAGAACTAGCATGCTGTTCCAGTTGTGACCTGAAGAAGGCAGAAGTATAAGCAAATGCAAGAAACACCTTAGACGTTTGCATTTTTTGTTATGTGCGATTGAGTCGCCAGCTAACTCATAGTGATCTTATGTACAATAGCGCTGAACCATGCCCTATCCAGAGCCAGTCTCATTGTCTCCGACACAGTTACTATGTCAATCCATTTCATCCTGGGTCTTCCCTCTCTTGACTGTCTCTCAACTCTTCTCCAAGGACTGGTCTCTCTTGGCCAAAGTATGTGAGACAGAGCTTCAAAATCCTTGCCTCCGAGAAGGAACTTGGTTTCACCCTCTCTAGGACAGACCTCTTTTGTTCTCTTGGCAGTTCATGGTATGCTCAATACTTTTCTCCAGCACCACAACTCAACGTTGTAAATTCTTCTCCTATCATCCTTAGTCTTGTCCAGATATGTGATGCATAGTAAATAATAGACAAGACCATGGCCTGAATCAGGTATACCTTAGTCTCTAGATTGACATCATTGCTCTTCAGCACTTTGGAGAGGTTCCTGACATCAGATTTTTCTAATGCCATTTGTTTTTTAATTTCTTGACTGCTGGTACGAAGAGTGTTGATGGCGAACACAAGCAAGATGAAACTGAACAATTTCAATCTCTTCTCCATCTGTTCTGGTGCTGACAAATGGGCCAATGCTGAGAATCTTTCTTTTCTTTATATTGAGCTTCAATCCATGAAGTCCTTGACCTTCTGCAGCAAACACCTCAGGTCCTCAGTTTCAGCAAGCAAGATTGTGTCACCTGCATAGCACAGGTTGTTGAGTATTCCTCCAATATTGATACACATTCCTTATAAAGTCCAACCTCCCAGATGATCTGTTCCACATATAGATTGAAAAGGGGTATATAGACAGGATATACCCCTGACACTATCTTTCCCAATTTTGAACCATGCAGTATTTCCTGCTCCATTCTGACAACTGCCTCTTTGGTCCAAGTATAGATTTCACATGAACACAATCAGGTGTTCTGGGATTCCCACTCTTCTCAAGATTAGCCACAATTTGTTGTGATCCACACAGTCAAATGCATAATCAATAAAATACAGATGGACATTCCTCTTGTACTGTCTGCTGTAGCCAAGATCCATCTGACATTGGCTATGATGTCCCTAGTGCCATGGCCTCTTCTAAACTCACCTTCCACTTTTGGCAGTTCTCTGTTGATGTGTTGTTCCAGTCATTTTAAGATAATCTTCAGCAGGAAGATTGTGCTTGGTTGTGATATTATTTGATAATTTCCACACTCTCTTGGAACCGCCTTTTTTAAAAATATGGATCTCTTACAGTCAGTTGGCCAGGGAGTTGTCCCCAAGGTTTCTTGGAACAGCCTGGTGAGCATGTCCAGGGCTGCATCTCTTTGTTGAATATGTCAGTTGGTATGCCATCAATTCTTGGGGACTTGTTTTTTTTGCCTTCAGAACAACTTGAACTTCCCCTTCATCACATAGGTTGTTTAGTGAAATTCTTCTATGTCAGTAATTATTTTTGGTACAGTGACTGTGAATACTTTACCCATCTTCTTTTGATGCTTCCTGGATCATTTAATATGCTGTCCTTATCATCCTTAAGTATTGCGACTTGAGGCTTGAATTTGTTCTTCAGTTTAAGAAGATGAGCAAGTTCATCCCTTTTGATTTTCCGACCCCAGCTCCTTTCACATTTCATTTTAATACTTTGCTTTATCTTCCAGAGCTGTCCTCATCTATTTAGCTTCTTACCTTCCTGATTCCTTCCCTTTCCTTTGGCTTCTCGGTGCTTTAGGGCAAAGTAATGACTTTTTACAGTATTCATGGTTGGTATTCTTTAAATCCTCCCACAGCTTATCTGGTCTTCACTCATTAGTGTTCAAGACCTCAAATGTGTAGGAGTTTTAAAATACACACTTTTGAAGAAATGACATTTTCATTATCTTTCAAAAAGGAAAAAGATAACTGACTCAATTCTGATGATTTACAAAGGAGTTATACTGCCAATGCAAAGGCAGGTGGTTGCTCTGTGGGAGGATGGGCAGATTTTTTTTATAATTTACTGCCTTTGAAAACCCATTGGACGGTCAGCTATAAGTCAGTTATGACTTGATGGCACATAACATCATTAAACATAGAAACACCCTGTTGTTAGGCTACCTTGTTTCTTTCATTTAACATATGCTTCTCTTGGTTATTTCTGGATAAGATATCCCTGGGGCTTTTCTGATAAACTATTTGTTAAAAAATAGTTTTTTCCAGAAGGAAGGCTGCATAGTGGAGTGGACCCGTGGGGAGGGGTGTAAAACAGTGAAAGAATTTTTTCTTTACTTTTCAAAGAGAAGAGTCTACTGGAGGGGGGGCGGTTTAGGGGTGGGCAGGGAGAAAAGTGCAACAATGAATTAATGGAAATACAAAGTCTCTGTAAATTTTCATTTCATGAAAATGAATAATAATAAAAAATTTCTGGCTGAAAAAAAATTCTTTTCAGGAAAAGTTTTCCTGAATATTATACTAATAATATTGTCTGATAATTTTCATTTTAAAAGAATTAAGTTTTCTATTCACAAGGCTCCGGGTGCACTGATCTAGCATCCTGGCACCTTCTGGCAGCTGGAAGCAGTGGCCTCTAACTTCTGATGTGTCATGTACTTTGGTATGCTGTGTTCCTCCAGCCACACAAGTTAGAGGTGCACTGCTTGTCTGCTCTGTGCCTCTTCTCTTGCAGGTTAACCCAGGACTATGTGACGATTTTCATTCCAGCACTTCCTGTAAGTGTCTCCATCACTGGGCTTTTTATTCTGTTAAGTGAGGAAGAGGCTAGAGTTGCCCTCATCTAGATTCTAGCTGTCTGCCTTTCTACCCTCAGCACACAGTGACCCACTGTAGGGCAACAAGAAAGGCTGAAGAACAGCACAGGAGTTAGGTTTCCAGTCCATGATTCCAGTCATTGAAAATCAGATTACAAAACACAACAAACAGAGCCAGTATGTTCTTCTGGTTAGAAAAGTGTGGGGGGTTTTTTGAGAATATTTGGAAAGCATAGGTGTGAAAAGTTCCAAATCGCTGTAATCCTGTCAAGGTCCTGAGCGATGCATCTAGTTTGTGCTGGCTGGTGATATCCAAAAGGCCCAGCAACTCTGTGCTACTCTTGGCTACTTCCACAGCGATTATAGCCAAGAAAGCAGTATATGTTGTAGGTTACCAAGATATTTGACTATGTTTTCTTTTAATTGTTTCATGGTCTATTTTTACATATAAGACTTAATCATATAACTTAATTTTTTTCCCGATACCAGTGACTGAATATTCTCTTTCTTCTCTATTCACTCCCTAAATGCTAAGTTAATGAGCAGTGTGCATGTTTCTGTGATCTGTATGAGTCTTCTAGAACCTGGCACTACACTGTTTATTGTAGTGTGATGATGCATGTTAGCACCTGGCTGTGCTGATCACAGAAGGTTCAAGCCTATGTCTCCTCATTGCCCCCCACATCCCCAAGACAGAGCAGCCTTCAGCCTCTCTGGGGCCAGTGTTCTTGAGAAGGGAACTGGGAAGAGAACCAGTCAGGGTGAACATAGGGTGGCCCTAAATTGTGACTAGGGAGCTCTGTTGCACTAGCAGGTAGACAATAACCCTGCCAACTCAAAGGTAGGTAATCTGAATCTACCTTCTGCTCCATGGGAGAAAGATGAGCCGTGTCCTCTGAAAGCCTGATGGAGGGTCAGCTAGAAGTCGTTTAGACTTGACAACATGTGATGAAGTATGACCTGAGCTGGGCATAACCTAGCCACACATACCTATCTGAAAGGCCAGCTCCCTAATCTCTTTGGGGCCCAACCACTACAAAGTCGTGTGTGTGTGTGTGCGCGCGCGCGAGCTCTTTTCTCTCTCCACCTTCTGTGAATCAGGAGATAAGAGAAGCCCCTGTTGGCAGCTGTAAGCAGTCCTTTGCCTGCTGTCCAAGCGTGCCCAGATCCCAGACTTGCATATAAAAGCCTTGTACTCTTCCTGCTGTCTCTACCAGCCAAGCGGAGACCTGAGGAGCTCACATGTCAGGGGAAGCTGAGCCCTGGCTCTGCCCTGCATCTCCACAGTCAGAAATCCAAGTCTTAGAAAGAAATGATTGTAATGTTAGTTTGTAGTTTGTTGTTGATTTATTTGTTGTTTCTTTTTTACACAGGCAATATTTCTGTACTGTCTGCTGGCAAAGTATTTGCAAAATCAGGTATAGGTCCCTGGCTAGAGGAAGGCTCACTACCCCTGCACACTTGTTGAGCTGCCGAGTGAGTCCCCGGTTCTCAGCATGCGGGGAGAACACTTGCATGCTTTCCTCTTTCCACCTTCCGTGAACCAGGAGATCACTCTAACCTGTTGTCTCAAGGCCTGTCTCCAGCCTGAGCCTGTTTACACTCCTGTGGTCCTGTGACCCCTCAGCAAGGAAACTCTTGCGTTTAAGGAATAGAGGTTACTGGTCACCTTGGGCTGGTGGCCAGTCTTCATTTATTTCAGGGGATCATCTGGCCTGAAGTCCTCAGTGGCATTGTGGGGAACTGTGTCAATGGCTTGGCCAACTATGCCCTGGTTTCTGTGCTGCACTTGGGAGTCAGGTGAGTAGTCCCTGCCAAGGCCTGCTCAGAGGGCACTGCCCACTGAGCTATCCTTTTCCAGTGAAAGGCAGTCACTGTCATTGCCTCACTCAGGTGAGGACTTTTGAAAGCTGCTCCACTGCTGGTCCTCAGGTACTCTGTGGCACTTCTGCTATGGATTCAATCAACCAGCAGGGAGGCAGAAGGACTACTGTAGCATCCTCTGGACATAGTCTACCAGATGGTGAAAAAGGGGTCCTGCAGGTGATTTTAGGGCATGGCAATAGATGCTGCCTGGCTGCTGAGCAGCATGTCCCCTCCCGGATGCCAGCAAGGAGGGTCCTGTCATCCTGCTGGAGGAGGAGGGGGCTCACATCAGGCCTCTTCTCTCCTTTCCAGGGGCTCTGCTTATGCCAACACCATTTCCCAGATCATGCAGACTCTCTTCCTCTTCCTCTACATCATCCTCAGGAAGCTGCACCTGGATACATGGGCAGGTGTGTGTAACCACCCCCCCCCACCCTTCAGCAGCACCAAAATGGGGGTGGGAAGAAGGCTTCTATGTCCTTTTAGGGTTCCTCCCTTCCTCTTTGTTCTGCCCTGCACCTACTCCAAAGCCTTGAAGGTCCCAGTGCCCCCTGCTGGGGATAAGGTGCTAGCCACAGAATGCCCCACAAATGCCCTGTGAGCTCCCACTGTGTTGGTCAGGGAAATAAGCAGCATGCTGTGTGCCTGACAGACCTTGCTTGGTTTAAATTTCCTCATCTTTCATTGCTGTTGTTGTTATGTGCCATCAAGTTGCTTGCGACTCCTAGCGACCCTATGTACAACAGCCCTAAACCCTACTCTATCCTGTGCCAGTCGCACTGTCTCTGACACACCCATCCCAATTACCCCAGTCACTTAATCTATCCACCTCACAGAGGGTCTTCCCCTCCTGCGCTGTTCCTCCACCCTCCCAAGCATGATGTCCCTCTCGAAGGACCTGTCCTTCCTTACAACATGTCCAAAGTATGTCAAACGAAGCCCCAGAATCCTTGCCACCAAGGAATAGCCTGGTTTAACCCTCTCCAGGATGAATCTGTTTGTTTTCTTGGCAGTCCATGGTACATTCAGTACTCTTCCCCAGCACCACAGCTCAAAGGCATCAATTCTCCTTCTATCCTCCCTAGTCATTGTCCAACTCTCTAATGCATAACAAGTGATTGCAAAGACCGTGGCCTGTATCAGACACACCTTAGTCTCCAGAGTGACACCATTGCTCTTCAGAGTTTCCGAGAGGTTCCTAACAGCAGACTTTCCAATCGCAATATGTTTTGTTTTGTTTTTGTTTGTGTTTTTTTATTTTATTTCCTGGCTACTGGTGCCAAGAATGTTGGTCATGGATTCAAACAGACTAAAGTTGTTAACAATCTTAATCTTTTCACCTTCCATCCTGATGCTGCCAATTGGTCCAGTGGTGAGAATCTTTGTTTTCTTGACATTGAGCCTCAATCCATACTGAAGGTTGCAGTCTCTGACCCTCAGCAGCAAGCATTTCAGGTCCTCCTCAGTTTCAGCAAGCAGGGTTGTATTATCTGCATAATGCAGATTGTTAATAGATCTTCCACCAATCCTGACACCACACTTCTCATAGAGCCCAGCCTCTCGGATAATCTGTTCTGCATACAGGTTGAAAAGGTATAGAGATAGGACACATCCCTTGCATACACCTTTCCCAATTTTGAGCCATGCAGTGTTCCCTTGCTCTGTTCTGATGACTGCCTCTTGGTCTAAGTATAGGTTTCGCATTAGCACGATCAAGTGTTCTGAAATTCCCATTCTTCTCAGAGTCAGCCACAATTTGTTGTGATCCACACAGTCAAATGCCTTTGCATAATCAATGAAACAGAGATAGACATTCCTCTGGTATTCCCTGCTTTCAGCTAAGACCCATCTAACATCAGCTACAATATCCCTAGTACAACAACCCCTTCTAAACCCAGCCTGGACTTCTGGCAGTTCTCTGCTGATGTACTGTCTCAGTCATTTTTGGATAATCTTCAGCAAAATCTTGCTTGCATGGGAAATCAATGATATTGTTCTATAGTTTCCACACTCTGTTGGGTCATCCTTCTTTGGGATGGGAACAGATATAGATCTCTTCCAGTGAGTTGGCCAAGTGGTTATTCTCCATATTTCTTGACACAACTTGGTGAGCACATCCAAGGCAACATCCGCTAGCTGAAATACGTCAATTGGTATATCATCTATTCCTGGGGCCTTATTTTTTGCTATTTCCTTCAAAGCAGCTTGAACTTCTTCCTTCATCACCATAGGCTCAACATATAACATATATGAGCAAATATGTTATTTCATTAAATTCTTCTGAGTCTGCCAATTCCTTTCAATGCAGTGACTCAGTATATTCTTTCGACCATCTTCTTTTAATACTTCCTGGATCATTTAATATTCTGCCTAAAGCATCCTTGATTATAGCAACTCGAGGTTTGAATTTGTTCTTCAGTTCCTTGAGCTTAAGAAATGCTGAACAAGTTCGGCCCTTTTGATTTTCCGACTCCAGCTCCTTGCATATTTCATTGTAACATTTTGCTTTGTCATCCTGTGCTGCCCTTTCGAATCTTCTTTTCAGGTCTTTAGTATCCTAAATTCTTCCTTGTGCTTTGGCTTCTCTGTGCTCCAGTGCAATCTTCAGAGTTTCTTCTGACATCCATTTTGGTCTTTTTCTCCCCTCTTCTGTCTTTGTAATGACCCTTTGCACTCTTCCTGGATGATACATTTGACATCCTCACACAACTCATTGAGGAAACTAATAAAAAGAAAAGTTAAAGAATTTCTCTCCAACATGTCAGAAGATGAGGTTTGGGCTTGAACCTGTGTCTGTGTGAACTCAGGTCTTGGAATCTAAGCACTGCACTTGTCTGCCTCCCCAAAACTGACTATCAAATATGGGTTCCTTCAGGACCCAGGACCTGGTGAGGTGAAGCAAGTTGGCAGACCTGTACCCTGCTCCTCACCTGCAGAGCCTGAGTTGCTGGGAGTCCCTCCATCTCCCTGATCCCAGGCAGCCTTCCAACAACTCCTTAGGGAAAAGCAGGATGAACTAGGACTCAGGGTTTCCAGATGAGAGGGTATGGTGTTTATGAGGTCGTGTGGTATTCAGGGGCAGGCTGGGAATGGACACCCATGTCACTCCTGAGCTGCCCTTCTGCTCTGATTCTGGCCAGAAGGTTACTGTCCTGTACCTTCATCCTCCTCATTCCCTTCCCCCAACACCAGCTCTAGGGCCAGCTGCTCCCAACCCTATACAAAATGACAAGTACCTGGGCCTGTTTTCCTGGTGGCTTAGATCTCACGCTTCTATCCCCAGGTTGGTCCAGGCAATGTCTGCAGGACTGGGGCCCCTTCTTCTCTCTTGCTATCCCCAGCATGCTCATGATGTGCATCGAGTGGTGGGCCTACGAGATTGGGAGCTTCCTTATGGGTACGTGCAAGAACAGGGTGGGGCACCAAGCGTAGAAAGTGTTCCCAACCCAGAAACCTCCACTCCTGGATGGGAGTTCACCATCCATCTCCGGACTCCACAGGTGGGTCCCAGCAGAGCCCAGCTGGCAGAGCTGAGTCTGTCTGTGGCTCACCTGTCCTCCTTACTGGGCTGAGAGAACTCCTTACCTCAAATGCAGGCCTGTGCCTTTCATGCCTTCCATCTATCTCTGAGTCCCTGACATTAGCCAGCACCAGGCTTGGCACCATTATGAGAACTCATCTGAAGGCAGAGGGAGGGAATGGCTCAAATGAAATGAGAGACAGCAAAGGCTTGGTGAGTACAGGACTCTCACCTGGTGTGTCTCCTGAAAAATCACAGATCCTGGCCTGGAGCCAGTCCTAATGGCCTACTAATGCAAGTCTTGGTCCCATTTACAGATGAGAAAATGGAGCTCCAAGAATAAGAAGGATTGTACAATATCACAAAAAAAATTATGGCAGGGCTAGGTCAATGCCTCATCACTTCTCTTCTTGTAAGGTCATTCTATGAGAACACCTGAGCTAAGTTGGGGTTTGGTTGTTTTTTTTTCCCCTAACAGACAGAAAGTCAACTAGAAACATGTTGTCTGAATACCTGCTCTTCAGAATCATTGGCTTCTGTGCCCCCAGAGCACAGAAGCATAGTGTCAGCCAAGGATTGGGATCCTCCCTATTGGCTAGGTCAGCAGGTGGTGCTTGAGACCTTTGACAGGCATTCCTACTGTGTGCCTACTCTCTCAACAGGCCTACTCAGTGTGCTGGATCTCTCTGCCCAGGCTGTCATCTACGAGGTGGCCACTGTGACATACATGGTGAGGCTTCTTTGGAGGTATCTTTGCAAACCTTCCACCTGGGGCCCATTCCCCACCAGCCACTAGCGAATTAGTGCCCTGGAAGAGGAGTCACCTTCCCTCTTGGAGTCGACAGGCAGATCCCAGTACAGCTAGTGGGGCCAAGTCTGTCTGTTGCTCACCTGTCTTTCCTCTCTAGGTGGGGAGCACCCCTCACTCCAAAGGCAAACTTGTTCTCACCTGGAGCTTCTCATATGCTTATCATAGCTCTTGACACAATATTGATACATCCTGAAAATTCACGAGCAGCACTTGTGGGACCACCTGGGACCTTTTTTAGGGCCATGAGGAATCCCCTCCTGCTTCCTAAATGCACCAGGTCCAGAACTTGCTTGGCTGAAGCCTCAGCATATGAAAGTGCATATTCAATGTACATCACCAGAGAATTTTCCAGTTTAACATCTTTTATAAACTGAAGGAGCTCTGGTGGTGTAGACAATAGGCAGGTGTGTTGCTAATGCCAAAGCTGCATATCTCCAGCAGTTCTAATCCACTAGCCGCTCCATGGGAGATCTACAGTCTCTGAAAACCTGTGGAGGGTCAGCTATGAGTTGGTTCTGACTTAACAGCAATAAGCTTGAGATTTTTGTTTATAAATTGAGAACTTTCACATAGTAATCTGGATCTTTAGTGTGGTTTTATTGGTTTTTGTTTTTAAAAAAAGGTGGGGAGGGCATTTCACTTAGTGATGGGCCTTGTCCCCATACACCCAGTCAGTGGAGAGGGAAGTCCATTTAGTGATGGGCCTTGTTCCTGTACACCCAGTCTGTGAGTACTGACACAGCAACCTCTATCCAGGCCTCACAACCATTTTTGCACAGACACACAGCCTCTGGCAGGTTCCTGAGAGTAGAATATGTGATCCCTACTTTAAGCAAAGGATTCACAAAAAGCCATATTTACAAAATTAGTCAGGTTATTCTCATTTTTACCAGTTGTTTAATTTCTTTTTCTTATGCTGAGCTTTTCTAGTATACTTAAGAATACACTAATCTCTTTTCAGTTGCAAGGCCACCCTTCCTATGAGGCCTCCACTGAAATTGATGGGATGTGGTTATGAGAGAATGTTTCTATGGTCCAGATAATAGTTCCATTCCACTTCACCACTCAGGCCTCACTGTCCTGCCATCTCCACCCCCAAATGTCTGTCCTCATATTTAGGCTGTTACACTCCTCCCATCCAGACCAGCCTAGTAGGCTGCTGTGCCCCAACATGGGCCTTTTCCTGGCTCAAGAACCTACCTCCTTTCAGGGGCCAGAGGGGTCTCCACTGACTGCATTTTCCTGTATGTCTAGATTCCCATGGGGCTCAGCATTGCCACCTGTGTCCGTGTGGGGATGGCACTGGGAGCTGCAGATACTGTGCAAGCAAAGCGGTCAGCCATCACAGGGGTGATCTGCACAGGTGGGTCAGTTGCTGGGTTGGGGGAGGGTGGACATGGTGAGTTTTGGGAGAGCGATTGACATAACTTCTAAATCTGTTATACCCATCATTCAACCCCCTGCTGATAGGAAGTTGGCAGCACTCTGCCCTAGAAAGCAGAACTCAGAAGGCAACCACACTTGTTTCTCACTTTCCTTATCTCCTGCCCAATTCTTCCCTGATGCTTGGACTCTTTGAATCATCTGAGGAGGGCCTGTCAGTTTAGCTTCCACCATCCACCTTAAACAAAACCATGACCTTTGGCTGCCATTCATCCCAGAATTTGTTCTCCAGCTGCTGGTCTGCTTGTCTATCCTCTCTATAAGTTTAGATTCTGCCAGTCCCACTCATCAGAATAAGGATGTCTTCTCCAGCCTCATGGCTCTATTTTCTGACATCAACAGTCAGACAAGCTTGTCTGTGTAGTGCAGTGTCTCTCAAGTGTCAGCCTGTGTTGGAACCTCCTCTTCAGGCTGGTAAAACCAGCCTGAGGGACCTCAAATAGCATAGCTCTGATTTAGTAGGCTGGACTCCATCTGAAAATTTGTACTTCTAATTAAGCTCAGTATCAAGAAAACAAAGATTCTCATGACTGGGCAAATTTTACAGCTTCATGATAGACAGAGAAGAGATATAGATTGTTAATAACTTCAGCTTGCTTGGTTCCACAATCAACCCTCATGACACAAGCAGTCAGGAAATTAAAAGACGAATTGCATTGGGAAAGTTGCTATCAGGGACCTTGTTAGAGTACTGAAGAGCAACAGTGTCAGTCTGGAGAGTAAGGTGCCTGTTCCAGGCCATGGTTTTCACAATTACTTGCTATGCATCAGAGAGCTGGACAATAACTAAGGATGGTAGAAGGATCGATGCCTTTGAGTTGTGGTGCTGGAACAGAGTTTTGAACATACCATGGACTGCCAGGTGAATAAATAGTTCAATCCTGGATAGGGTAAAAACAAGCTACTCTCTTGAGGAAAGGATTTTGATCCTCCATCTCACACACTCTTGGCACATGGCCAGGAGGGACCATCCTTGGAGAAGAACATCATGCTTGGGAGGGTGGAGTCACAGCACAGGAGAAAAAGACCCAGGATAAAATGGATTAACTCAGTAACTAGGGAAGTGGGATTAGGCCTGTTGGAGATGATGAGATTGGCTCAGAATAGGGCTGTGTTCAGAGCTATTGTACATAGGGTTGCTATGAATCATAGGCAACTGACAGCACATAAAAACAACAATTACAGTTACTGAGATAAAGAGGTTAGGTGTGTTGGAGACAGTGAGATTAGGTCAGGATAGGGCAGGATTCAGAGCCATTATGCATGGGGTTGGTATGAGTCATAGGCAATTCAATGGCTCTTAACAAGAACAATCAGCCACCAAGTGATGCTGATGCTACTACTCTAGGGAATTAGACTTTCAGAATCACTGGAGTAGACATTTTCTTTGTTCTTCTTAGGTGACTACAAACAATATTTATTTTAGTCTGGTCAAATGACTAATGCATTAGTCCTGTGACCAAAGTCTTCTCAGAGCAGAGAGCTTGGAGGAGTCATGCTGATTTATCTGATATAAGCTCGAGTCCTCTTTGGATTGGGTTCTGTTAATGCTCTCCATGTCTCTTCCAGTTGGCATTTCCTTGGCTGTGGCAACCCTGTTGAGCATCCTGAAAAATAAGCTGGGGCACGTTTTTACCAATGATGAGTAGGTAATCCATTTTCCTCACTCGCTCCTTGAAAATGTCAGTGTGGTCCTCAGAGACATGTCCCGTGCCTGGCTGGGTGCTGGTCTACAGCAGGAAGAACACAGAATTGTCTCACTGGGAGGAAGCTAGCTAGCATCTTGAAAGTCCTGAATGTGTATGCACTCTATGTTTGTGCACCCAAGCCCCGTTTTCTACCATTTTTTTCTCTCTATAGTAACAGACTAAGGACAATGAAATTGGAGGGGGTGAGTAGTGAGTGTCCTAGCATTTAATAAGTGCCTCGTAGACATACAGAAAGTTCAAGGCTCTGGGTGGTAGTTATGTTCACATGGTGGAATAACATCTACAAAAAGAAGGAAGGGAACTAAAAACAGTTACCACCAAGTTGATTCCAGTAGACGTAGGATTCTATGTATGTTGGAGCCATGTTCAGTGGGGTTTTCAAGAGCAACTTTCAGAAGTAAATTTATAGGCTTTTCTTCTCAGACATCTCTGAGTGAGCCTTGAACCTCTAGGTTTGGTTCAACAGCTAGCAGGTAGCTGTTTGCACTACCCAGAACTCCTTGGGGAGAACAGAAGGTACATAAAGGGGTCTCTACAGTCTTCTTTGGAGCTTTGTAGTGTGTTATGCTGTCTTTTTGAAAGACCGCACATGTCTGGTAGTTCAAATTCATAGGCCAAAGATAGAAAGTCTTCTCTCATCAAGGTTTACAGCCTTGGAGACCTGGTGGAAGGTCCCTAGGAACTGGAATTACTTTGAATATAGAGTAGTGAGTATAGAGTCTTTTCTTAGTGCTCCAAAAGTGAATGCCCTTTCCCATTTCTTCTTCAGAGAAGTTATTGCCCGGGTGGAGCAGGTCTTGCCAGTTTACACTGTCTTTCAGCTTTTTGAAGCCATCTGTGTGAGTACAACTGTGACCCTCACACATATAAGACTGCATTCACTTGTGCACTCCCCTGAGTTGTGGTTACAAGCAACTTATTATTGTGGAGCTGGAACTGACCCTCTCATGAGTTTTCAGAGGCTACAAATGCCAAGGGAGAAGACTGCCCATATTTCTCCCTCAGAGCAGCTGGTGAATTAGAACTACGTGGCTTTGGGTTGACAATGCAACTCCCTCCCCACGAGACCACCAGAACGCCATCGAGGATACAGAGATGGAGATATTCTTCTGGATTGCTTAAGTTCCCAAGTTAATTCAATGTAATCACAGAATTGCTTATAAATTAAAGAGTTAGAATCAAAGAATGTGATAAAGAAACATAGACTGGAGATAGTATTGCTGCCTGGGCCATGAGCCAAGTAATGCAGGTAGTCTTCTAGAATCAGGAGTCCCACAGAGGGAAATCTTCTCCTGGACCTGGCACTGTGGATTTGAACTTCTAGCTTTTCAAGCTGTGTGGGACTAAATGTGTTTGTTAAAGCTATCCACTTGTGGTACACTTGGGTAAGCTCCCAAAGACCCACATCGTCGTTGTTGTTGTTGTTATGTGCCATCGAGTCTCCTCTGACTCATAGCGACTCTATGTATATAACAGCCCTAAACTCTGCCCTATCCTGTGCCAATCTCACCATCTCTGACACACCTACCCCCATTACCCCAGTCACTGAACCAATCTATCTCATCGAGGGTCTTCCTCTCCTGTGCTGTCCCTCCACCCTCCTTAAGCATAATGCCCATCTCCCAGGACTAGTCCCTCCTTGCAACATGTCCAAAGTATGTCAGACGAAGCTTCAGAATCCTTGCCTCCAAGGAGCAGCCCAGATTCACCTTCTCCATGACAAACCGGTTTGTTTTCTTAGCAGTCCGTGGTATATGCGATACTCTTCTCCAACACCATAGCTCAAAGGCATCACTCCTCTTTCTATCATCCCTAGTCATTGTCCAGCTCTCTGATGCATAACAAGTGATTGCAAAGACCATGGCATGTATCAGGCCAACCTCAATCTCCATCTTTGCACTTCAGCACTTTAGAGAGGTCTCTAACCACAGACTTTCCCATCGAAATACGTCTTTTAATTTATTATTTTACAATTACTAAGCAAGCGACTCGATGGCACATAACAACAATAATACTAGTAATTAATAATAAACCATTTATGCCTTTCTTCACAGTGTGTCTATGGTGGTGTCCTGAGAGGCACTGGGCGTCAGGCCTTTGGAGCTATTGTGAATTTGATCATGTATTACGTCCTTGGCCTCCCACTGGGCGCTGTTCTAACCTTTGTGGTTAGAATGAGAATTATGGGTATGAGGTGTTGGGGAAAGGCCTGGGATCTTTCCACCTATTATTCTTTGTCCCCTGCAGTCTTACCTATTGCCATTTGTCCTCTGCAGGCCTATGGTTGGGCATGTTGGTTTGTGTCCTCTTGGTAGCTGCTACCTTTGTTGCCTACACTGCCCAGATTAACTGGACGTTAGCTGCAGAGGAGGTGAGTGAGATTAACAGCCTTTGGTCCATAAGATACACACCACACCTGGCCCAAGATAGAATGCACCTGCTGAAGCCAGAAATGCCCAGAGCATATCAACACTTGGCCACAGTGATCTAAGGTTGGGGAAAGTGAATGGAGTTAAGAAAGGGCTTTCTGAACCTCAACAGCTGAACTTGCCATTCTTATTGGACTGCAGATCGCTGCAGGTAATGGTAATATTCTACAGTTACAAAGAGAAACACACACTGAAAACTTTCCTTAGACAGCCTGCCTGGTAAAAACCAAACAAAAGCAAGGTCAACATAGTCTGAATTCAAGGAAACCCCCAAAGTGTGTCTGTGCTTTGGAAAAGGTTCATAAACCCCTGCTGCCCTCATTCTTTCTAGATGACATTTTAAACAAAGCTGGCATTTGTCTTTCTTATACAATAAAGAAGAGGAGGTAGTTTTCCAAAGACTAGGAGATGGTATTATGTTCTGTGTGTGTTCATCAAATCATCTGGCATTTTAAAAGATACTGGTACAGATTTAAATTTTTTTAAATTTTATTTTATTAATTTTAATGAACATTTACAGAGATTTTGGATTTCCATTCGTTCATTGTTGCACTTTTTCCATGCCCACTCCTCCCCCCCCAGTTCGCTCCTCTCTTTGAAAAGTAAAATTCTTTCATTGGTATACAATCCCCCGGTAGCCCCCCACAGTATACTCCACCATGCAACCTTAATTCTAGACTCTTGTGATAACCATAATACCCTATCATATATCACTTTTAAACTGTTCTCTCCCTCATCTGTTTCAATGCAGTATACATAACTTACCCAGTTTTTTCCGTCTTACCCCAACCCTCATGCCATTCTCATTCTATAGCAGTGGCACCGTGCAGTATTTGTCCTTTTGTGACTGAGATATTTCACTTAGCATAATGTTCTCCAGGGTCACCCATTTTGAATAATATTGCATGAGTTCCTTGTTTTTCAACTCAGCGTAGTATTCCATTGTGTAAATATACCACAGCTTCTCTATCCATTCGTTTGTCGATGGGCACCTAAGTTGTTTCCAATTCCTGCTATTGTGAACAAAGCCGCAATAAACATGGGTATGCATATATCTGCTTGGATGTCAGTTATGTTCTCTTTAGGGTATATTCCCCGTAGTGGAATTGTTGGGTCAAATGGTATCTCTATTTGCAACTTTTTGAGAAAGTGCCACACCGCTTTCCACAGTGGTTGCACCATTTTACACTTCCACCAACAGTGAATAAGGGTTCCAGTTTCTCCACAACCTCTCCAGCATTTGTTGCTTGCTGTTCTGTTAAATTTTGCTATTCTTACTGGGGTGAGATGATATCTCATAGTTGTTTTGATTTGCATCTCTCTTAGAGCTAGGGATTTTGAACATTTCTTCATGTGCTTGTTGGCCATCTGAATGTCTTCTTTGGTGAAGTGTCTGTTCATATCCTGTGTCATTTTTGAATTGGATTATTTACCTTTATCTTGTTGTGGTGCTCAAGTATTTTATAAATTCTAGATAAAAGTCCCTTATCTGGCATGTCATTACCAAATACTTTTTCCAGTCTGTGGCTTCCCTTTTTACCCTGTTGGAGAAGTTTTTAGATGTGCATAGGGATTTGATTCTTAGATGGTCCCATTCATCTATTTTGTCTTCTCCTGGTTGTAGATTTTTTAGGATGCTTTGAAGACTGTTTATGTTGTGGATTAGGACTACTAGAATTCTTCCAAGCTTTTCTTTAATGAAGTTTGTAGTCCTTGGTTTTAGTCCTAGGTCCATAATCCACCTTGAGTTGGTTTTTGTATATGGAGTGAGGTGTGGATCTTGCTTAAGTCTTCTGCAGATAGTTTTCCAATTTTGCCAACACAATTTGTTAAAAAGGCTCTTGTTTCCCCACTTAACTGATTTCATATGCTTATCAAAAATCAGTTGACCATAGATAGATGGGCTGATTTCCAGGTTCTCAATTCTATTCAACTGATCTATGTGTCTATGGCAGTGAAGTAGGATTTGAAATCAGTGAGTGAGATGCCTCCTACCTTTTTTCTATTTTTAAGGAGTGCTTTGTTTATTTGGGGCTACTTTCCATTTCAAATAAAACTGGAGATTACTTTTTCCATCTCCTTGAAGAATTAAATTGGTATTTATTATATTGAGATTGCATTAAACATGTAAATTGCCTTTGGTAGTATTGCCATTTTCACAATATTGAGTCTTCCTATCCATGAGCAAGAGATATTCTTCCACTTCTCCAGGTCCCTTTTTGTTTCTTGTAGTGATGTCCTTTGTGCTTCTGCTTAGATTTACTTCCAAGTATTTAATCTTGTGATTAGCTATTGTGAAGGGTATTGTTTTCCTTAGCTCTGCTCTGTATTCTCTTTGTCATTGTAGAGAAATCCAACTGATTTTTGTATGTTGATCTTGGATCCTGCTACTTTGCTGAATTGGTCAACTATTTCCAATAGTTTTCTTGCTGTGTCTTTAGGGTTTTCTAGGTGTACTATCATATTATCTTGCATGGAGAGATAATTTTACCTCTTCTTTGCCAATTTTGGTACCTCTTATTTTCTTCTCTTGTCTTATTGCTATCGCTACGACTTCCAATACAATATTGAATAAGAGAGGTGAGTTGACATCCTTGCCTAGTTCCTGTTCCTAATGGGAATGCCTTTAACCTCTTTCCATTGAGAACAATGTTGGCTTAGATTTAAATTTTTTAAAGGAAGTAAAAGTAATTTTAAGTCATTAAAACACACATAAAACTACTGTTTTAAAATAAATCATATTAAACCAACAATAGAAATAGATTGATGTTTGTTGACTCTACTTACAGCCATTGAGTCAGTTCTGACTCCTGGTAACCCTCCCTCGGTTTTGCACTGGTAACAAACTGCTCACCTTCCTCTCCAGGAGCATCTAGTGGTTTTGAACTGCCTGCTTTTCAAATAGCAACCATACTATACCTCTAGAACTCCTTAATATTTGCAAACCAGGGTAATATTTCAGTTAAAGTGTTGGAAATGTTCCCAAGATTTAAAAAAAAGGGAACTGCTAAAATTCCTAGACCAGACGTATTGGCACTGTTATGGGAAAAGAGGATGAGAGTTGAACTGATAAATTTGTCTTATACAACATTGTTAATATTACTGAGTTATCTTAATCATAGCAACCAGTTTGATGTTTGGAGTTGGTTTTCCAAAATTAATGAAACTTTTCAAAAGAGCACAGTGCAGATTATAAAAAATAGTAACCAAAACCAGCCTGTAGTCGGACTGGGAGCTCCTACTTCTGGTAGCTAGCTGCATCCAGGTAATTTTCTCAGCTAATCCAATGTCCAAGGCAAATGCTTCTGGTAAGCTCCTTACTAAAACTATTTGCCTTGAAGTTGACTCCAGGAAGCAAAGTTCAAAAAGAACACTTAAGGCTGGGGTGGACTGTATGGCTGAGCCCAATTCCTATGAAAGCCTGAAATGTGGGTTCCAGGAGACTTGCTTTCCAGGAGAAACTGCTTTGTCACTTTGAATATATGCCCTGCTTTTGGCTGGTAGTATTTCCAAGGCTACTGGTGGGCAGGCTGACACTGACCGCTTTCTCTCCTTTAGGCTCAGAAAAATGCAGGCCTGCAGCATCAGAGGGCAGAGCACGTGGTCCCCAGACCTGGGCCTGAGAAGGTGATTGTATCTTCAGGTAAAGGCATGGCGTCTTCTGCTTTGACACACACAAAACTGTCAGTGGCACATGATTTCCATTGCCCTCTGTGTGACAGCCAGCTTTGTTTGTACAAGAGTTATGGAACACTCATGTTGTGCTAGTTTCATAGCTTCACTATTAAGTCTGTGTAGATTATATGATTGGAAATTATGTAAGTCTAAACTGTTCCTACTGGAAGATCAGTGATGAATCGATTCCAACTTGATGGCAAATAATAGCAACAAAATTTTTCTCCCTATTATGAAAATTATGTCCTAAGTGCCAGGAAAATAATAAGTATCTATTATTTTATGGCATGTGAGCTCCAAAACATTGCAACAAGTAGTTGCCTTAGGCTTGAGATATACAAATGAGATATATATTGTCAATGTCAAATGAGAAAGCAAGTATCATCTTAAGAGATTATGCACTTTCCCTATCATATTACAGATGGGAGATAGGACATAAACAAGCACAGATATGACCAACCAATAGACTTATACTCTCACTGATAGAAGGAATAGAGAAGCACTGTCCTTTGTCACAGCCCACAGAAGCTGTTCCAGACATCAGATCAGATCATCAAACTTGACAAAAATCTCTCTGGTGTACATTCAATAAAGTGAATCACATAGAAAAGTGAGGGCCGAGCTGTGAAGCAGTTTTCCCCTGCACTCCCAGGCTGGTACCAAGTGCCTGGTATGTGTGTGTATCTAGCTCAAAGCTCTTCCAAGTTATAACTGAGGGATCATGTCTTACTTTGGGCTTTCCTTGATCAGTACAGTCATGAACTGGCTGACTAAATTCTGAAGGCTTAAATTGCCATGAGAGTTTTGGTGAGATAAAATCCCCCAAACATTTAATATTTTCTATAGTCATAAAGGGAACACATGCCATCACAATGCAGACTCGGATCTACTTTACACCTGATCAAGTAGTTAGCTTTATCTCACAGGTTAAGAAGCTGTCCTATATATTTCTTCATCTGATCCTGCCTGTATAGTAGACATTTTCCTACTGTACAGGATTTTTTATTTTTATGGTGAGAAAAATTTATTACATTTAAAATTAGCCCGCTGGACTCAGTTTAGATGATCCCAATTTTGTTGGCAACATCCAAGGCTGTTGTAGCGGGTGGGAAACCAGTAACCACTGCAGTTGCAAAACCCTGTGTTCTTTCTAGATCCTGTCGAGCCAAAACCAACTCATAGCTGACCCTTCAGCAGGTTTTTAGCAGCAGTAAATCAGAGCTGCTGATGGATTTTAAATAATTGCCTTGGAGTTGGCAGAACACCCCCTTACCTCTAAGCCACTAGACCTTATTTCAGCATAATGTGTACAAGGAAAAAGACAGGTGAAGAAAAGGGACCTTGGACTGCCAGCAGCTCAGCTTCTCCAGGGATTCATACTGGCTACCTTTTTGTAGGTATTTATACAAGTTTAGGTAAGGATTTGCCTTCTACTAACATGGTAAAGAAGGGAGGTGCCCACACCACTTACTCACAGGTTTTTCCTTAATATGCTTTTCACATATTCTGATATGCTTATTGCAGGACATTCTGCAGACACAGTACAGGGGCAAAATGAGGGTACTACTTCAGAGGTTGTCTTTTGATTATTAAATGAGTGGGCATAAGGTGCTAAAGCAAACATGAATAATATGAACTTTTCTGGTGGGATGGGCAGCAGAAACCAAAAGAAGCTAATGTGGAGGTCCTTTCTAAAGTCTGCAGATTGACTTCTGAATTGGTCATTGGAGTTTTTATGTTAATTAATATTCAACTAAAATTAATATTCAAAAGTTATTTCTGCCAGGCTTAAAGAGGTAGACTGCTTTACTCTGAAACAAAAAATCTCAAAATAATTGCTGTCAAATTGGAACCAACTCAGAGCTGACCCTCCATTGAGTTTCTGAAGCTATAACTCACATAGGAGGAGAGTATCTATCTTTACCCCAGAGACACTGGTGGATTCGAACTGCCAGAGAGGGGTGGCCTTTGAGTTAGGGCAGCTTCCCACGGACTTTGCCACTGGAACTCCCCAAATCCATCAACTGCAGGAGAAAGATGGGCACTCTCCTCCCGTGCAATTGCTTTGCTAACTCCTCTCTGTTTGAATCCACCAGCAGCTCTGCAAGAGAAAACTGGCCAGTCTCCTCCTGTGTGATTTACAGCCTCTCAAACAGCTGCTGGACGGGCAGCTAGGAGTTGGTTTCAACTCAATGGCAATGAGTTGAAATTTATAACGAGTGGAGTTAACTGGTTAATGTAGGCCTCTGACTCCAACGCCACGCTTTTCCTCAGCCACAGCACTGAATTATTTCTGTTTGTTTCTGCAGTATACATGGGAAGCTCTCCTGGTATTACCCTGACAAGTTATTCAAGACCTGAGTGTCAAATGGACCTCTTCAGGATGCCAGAAACAACTCTTGGCTTTTCGGTTTCTTCCAGCACATTGTCAGCAAGACAGCTGGCCATCCGCCGTGGGGCAGTACTGGGGGCAGCAGTAGTCACACTGCTCCTGGGTCTTGCTGTCAGGGTCCTAACCACCAGGCACTAACAAAGCAGCTTGCAGAAAGAAAATAAAGAGCCAAATGACTGCCCCCCCCAGCACACACACACACACACACACACACACACACACACACACACACACACCTGTTCCACAAACACACCAATGAGATCCAGTGCAAGTGCACTCTTGGGATCAAGCCTCATAAAAGGGCTTCAGCCGGTACCTCATGGTGACCTGAAACCATCCAAATTATAGACTGACTTTAGTTGTGGTCAAATTGCTTTATTCTTCTGATCCAGACTGTGCTTTAGAAAACATGAGCCAACTGAAGAGTGACAAACCTGTCCAATAATGTAAATTACTTCAAACTGGAGAGTATAAATAAAAAATATTGCAATACACTCATTCCTTACTTTGTGACATGGTTAGGCTCCAAGGACCAGGTATTTGTTAGAAAAGCACAGCACAGGTGGCAGAGGAGGATCCTGATGGTTTGGGCTATGGCCCAAAGGTGGCTTACAAAACTCCCTGCTCACATTACCCTTCTGCTCCCCATACCTACTCCTGAGCTCACCTTCAGATTACAACTTCATCCTCCCCTGTACATCAAGGCATGGTGTCCCTCAGAAGGGGCCCTCTCCTTCTGGAACCCCTTCCACTCCAGATATGTTTCCTGAACAGCCTGTAGACCAGGCCTTCCGGGCCACCAAATTACCACCTGTCCCCCTAGGTGCCCCTCCTCTCAGACTTCCCCGTCTCAGTGTTGGGCTGGCAGGCCCTCTCTCCATTTCTCTACTCTTGCACCCCACAACGACCCCACACTTCCAGCACAGCTGGCTGCCCTCCCTCTTCTCTGCTTCTGGTTAAGAGATGGGCCAAGGAGGGAAGGGGATAACAGCCCCTACTTCTGCACCCCATATCAGCCTAGAACCTTCCTTCCAGCAGATTCGCAGGGTGAGTCTTCAGTCAGCCCCCAACTAGGAAGCTCAAATTGTCTCCTGACCACAGCCTCATTGCTCCAGCACCCCTAGATTTACATACCCTTCACCTTCACACACCCTGTCTCCTCCAGCCTGGCAAGACCACCCCATGCCCCTGCTCCTCCAGGGCTAGACTTGCCTGAATTGCTGAATGTCTCAGCCAGGAACTCCAGCTACTGCTTGGAATGAACATTCCACACCTGATGTGTGGGCTGAAGTCCCAAAAAACCCCCCTCCAGGTGGTGCTCTCAATGGGGGGCAAGGGAGTGGAGTGGGAACAGATAGCGCACCTTGGCAGTGTCCTTTTCCCCTCACCGCCTGCCCTGTCAGGCTCTGGGCATGAACTTTCACTCTTGGATTTTCCTATTGCCCTAAATGAGAAATGCCAGTGGCTGAGACAATACTAAGTATAGGTGTAACCATCATTATATAAAAACTACCTTTTTTTGAGGCAGTCTGCTGCCAAGGTATTTTCTTAGGGCGCTTGGGACACTCTGGCAAGCGGGCCAGTGAGCTCACCCAGGAAATCTGACTCACTAGGCCCCCTATCTCTTCCTCAGGCACAGCACATGAATCTCTTCGAGTCCACTCAAATCTATTCTGCCCAAGCATCCCTTGGGGCTCTAAGGCTAGAAATCTTTCTCCCAAAGAGAGTATAGTAGATTCTACTTGCAGACCTTTCTAGTCCAACCTGTTATGCACAACAGAAGATTTCACTTCCTCACTCATGCATTGGTAGAGTTGGTCCGACTCATAGCATACCCTCCATTATGTTTACGAGGCTGTGAATCTTGAAGGATGGAGACTGCCCATTATTCTCCCTTGGAGTATCTGATGGATCTGAACAGCCAAAGAGTCACAGACATTTGGTTAGCAGCTGAACACACTCTGGCCACCCACTGTCAGGCTGAACAGGCTGAGCAATTCCATTTTATAGGACTTCTATGTCACTTCTCCTCACTCTGAGATAAGCAAGTCTGCCTGATGCTCCTCCTCCCTCCAAGAGAGGCAGGCATATGTGACTAAGATAGAAGGAAGCCCAGACACTAAGATAACAGGATGCCTAAAGGTATATAACATATCAGATAGAAGGTTCCAAGATGAAACTGCTGAGCCAGAACCACCCCCAAGGTATCAAACTCACCCCTCCTGCTTCCCAAGGCCCAGCCTTCTTCCTTGCTCCAGGCTAATGCTGCATTGAGAGCCTCAGCCCCCTTTCACCAAGGTGAATGTTAAAGTCCATTTGCTATAAGCCACAGCTATTATTTGGCTGTGGTTGCTTTTGGACCTAGCAGTTGGAGGGACCTTTCATCAGAGGTCCTTTTAGGAGCTGTTAAACTCCTGAATGATATTCTTCAGGAATCTCATGGAATTTTTCCTCAAATTCTCTCACACCATCAGTATTTTAACTTATACAGACTTGTTTCTTACCATTCTTTTCCTTATAGTCATTGTTGGGTGTTGCTGAGTCACTTTTGACTAACAGTGACCCAATCCTCAACAGCCTGATCCAAGACCTGTTCCTACCATCCTCACTATCTATTGGTCTGTTGTAAACTGCCAAGACCTCTTCCCATCATCCTCACTATCTGTTGTAAACTCATTGTTTGTAGCTATTATATCAATCCGTCTCACTGAGGAGCTTTCATTCAGCCTGTACCAAGCCTGATGTCCTCCATGAACTGGTCCCTTGTGTTGCTGAGGTGATGGACACTGGCTGGAAACTTTTCCAACAGAGGATATTTGCTGCCTCTGTGTTGTTATGTACCATCAAGTTAGAACCTTCCTGCTGTTATGACTCTCCAGTGAGTTTCCAGAGGCAGTGTTTCCAGAGTTTCCAAAGGCACAGGAGACTTTTTTGATACCATGGTGAATTTTTTGCTGGTAAATTAGAATCAGGTGCCTTTGTATTGGGAGCCAAGCCTTTGTATTGGGAGCCAAGTTCCTTCCCATTAAGCCATGAGAGCATCCTCCTTTGATTTCTACTGACCCAAAATGAGCAGAAATAATGGTTCAACATGAACAAACTGTAGGTTAAAGTTCTGTCTGGGCTGAGACCCAGATCAAAGCCTCTGCCTTCCTATACTAAAGTTTTCCTGGGGCTTATAAAAATTCTAGAGAAAGGACATGTTTCTTCACTAGAATGAGGGGAGGCTGGGTTATGGCCTGCACACATGTCCAGCTTCACCTGCTCCCCTATTTAGCTTGAGTGTTCTGGAGCGATTTGTGCTTCTGCCCTTTGGAGGAGGGGCCCCATCTGGCTTTACTGAAAAACATCTTACAGACACTGAGTTGAAAACAACTTCTAAGAACTTTTAGTGAGTGGAAAAACAACTTCTGAATACTTTTGTTGTTACTGTTAGGTGCCATCCAGTCAACTTCAACTCAAAGCAACCCTATGTGCAACAAATCAAAACCTTGCCTGATCCTGCCCTATCCTCACCACTTCTACTATTAACTTTTAGTGGAGTGAAAAACAACTTATTTTCCTGTACACCTGGCATAACCTTTAAACGTCAGATTTTTTCATTAAATGTCAATAAAATATGGGCCTGTCTTAGTTAGAGCCAGATCTCAGAAAGAACATTTGGTATCAGGTAAGAAAACTACAAGGCACTTGTTTTCACCTGAGTAAACATGCCTACATCTGATTACAAAGACAGCTTGCATTATTGTTATGTCAGTCCACTACCACTAGTAGTGACCCAATGAACAAGAGATCAGAACTTGCTTCTATCCTGATGATCTCTGACATGCTCCAAGCTCATTGTTACAGTCACTGTATCAATTCACCTTGTTGAGGATCTTCGCTGGACCTTCTACTTCCCTCAGCCTTCCCCACTTTCTCCCGCCCAAGGATTGCCCATCCTGACAACAGGCTCAATGTATAGAAGACAAAGTTTCACCGTCTTTGACACTAAGGAGGTTGCACTTCCTCCAAGACAGAATTGTTTGTTCTTTTGGCAGTCCATGGAATATTCAGCATTCTTCTTCAATACTAAAATTCGAAGACATTGAATCTTCTCCTGTCATACTCTGTATCCAAATTTCAGATGCATATGAAACAACTGAAAATACCATAGCATAGATCAAGTGCAGTGTGTGTGTGTATGTGTGTTGATTGCTGCTGAGTCTAGCACGACTCATAGCGACTCTATGAAGAAAAAGACCTAATGCCTTTTCATAACTATCATCATTTCTCCAAGTTCATAGAGTCTCCAGGGGCATGTGGTTTAGGAAAGTAGATGCTACTCCCTACTCCTACTTCCAAACCTGTTTCAAAACTGGGGGCTCCACCAAACACTGTCTACATTAGGAAATCATTTTGGTATTTTTTACCCCAATGGTACAAGGTTCAGTATAACAGCAAACCAGGTTACTTCATACTGCACATTGACAAAGAGTGATGTACAAAGTGGAAGAGTGTTCTTCCAGATATAACAGCACTAGTTTCACTTAGAAGTGGTTAAGTGTCATCAAGTCAAATATGACTGAGAATAAGTTCTGCACAAAAGACATAAACTCTGTTCTATAAATAACATAATTTCTGTATAGATCTCTGTTCTATAACTACCAACATTTCTGTACATTTTTTTTAAATTTAGAGAGTTTGTAGAGTTTCCAGAGGCATCTAGTTTAGAAAGTGGAAGCCACTCCTGCTTCCCAGCATAAATCAATCTGGAAGCTCATCCAAACACTGCACATAATGGGTAATCATTATGGTATTTGACAAGACTATGGAACAGTGTGAAGCATCACAGCAATACCAAGTTGTTCAGTTCAGCAAATAGACAAAAGATTGCTGTGTCATTCAAGGAATATTCATTCGAAAATCAATAAATTTGGCCTGAGGGCCACAGGCAAACACGACCTCAGAAATGTCCCTTACATGCCCAACAGTAGTGACATCAAGATGCAGCAAACATATGCACCAAATAAAAGACCAGCAAAATACATAAAACAAACATTAACAAAACTGAAAAATGAAATAGACAACACTACTATAGTGCTGGGAGACCTCAATACACCCCTCTCAAGAAAAGATAGAACTACCAGAAAAAAACT